ATCAGAACAGCTTGCTTAACTGTTGATCTTGCTAAAATTAAATAAATGATCTCTCTTTTTTTTTTTTCCACAAAGGCTTTGTCTCTTTAAAGAATGACAGTGAGGTTTAAGAAACTTTTACAAAGCAAAAGCTATCGTTTAAGACTGGAACCCAAATTTTCCCTTCCCTCTTCCATAATCTAACAAAAATTCCACCCACTGAGGAATTTAAACCTCGGTAAGATAAATAAAAGTTGTACATAATTAAGATATAGGTAATACTTAGGCAAAAAGTTTTCTTTTCTGCAGTGCTGGGGGCAGAAATCAGGACCTTGTGCATATTAGGGCAAGTACATTATAACTCAGCTATAACCTCAGCCCCAAAATCTTCTTGAAGGGAGACTTTGTCACATTGAAACTCAAATCTCAAGTGCAAAGAATTGAAATGTGGAGAAAATGTGGAAATGACTATTTCACATCAGCCAGAAAAAGCCTAAGGGATCAAATCAAGTAATGAATGTCAAAGCACTTCAAAACTATAAGGCACTACAAAAAAATGAAAGTTTCTACACAGTGTGGTGGCACACACCTGTAATCTCAGCAGCTCTGGAGGCTGAGACAGGAGGATCGCAAGTTTAAAGTCAGCCTCAGCAAAAGTAAGGCGCTAAGCAACTCAGTAAGAGCCTGTCTCTAAATAACATACAAAATAGGGCTGGAGATGTGGTCCAGTGCCCCTGAGTTCAGCCCCCAGGACCCCACTCAAAAAAAGTTGCTACATAATCCACAAGCTATTAGAACAAGAAGAAAATGTTGTCCCAAACAGACAAAAAGAAAAAGAAACATTTTCTCTGGATCTGGACCACTAAAATTAAGACTAAAAACTGTGAGCCTCCAAGGTATGGCCCATAATCTTATGGTAATATAGTTTATCAGTTGTGATTTTAGGAAGTTATTTGATCCAGTTTTTGTCATTTGATATTTCATTTCCTTCTGGGGTAGTTTAAGCAAAAGCTGAGGAACAGATTAGAGTGCAGAAATGAAAGACTAGAAGAAGAGAAACTGTATAGGAGTGATGAATAAAATTCAAAGCCAAGAGGGTAGACATTTAACTTGCTCTAAGTCTGGATGTATTATTCTTGATGTTTCCTTATATCCAAGAGCACCTAATAAAGAGATGTCATTTCTCACAGTAACAAGTCCAGGGCTCTAACTGCAAAACTGGGATTCTGACACCTGTTCTTATAAACGAGAATAATAATATCTTTTATTGAGCACTTACTATGTGCCAGGCACTTTCTAAATGTTTTACATGGATTAGTGAGGTTAATCACCACAAAACAATGAGATGGCTATTATTTTTATCCCTGTTTTACAGAGGAGAAAACTGAGATGGAGAGGCTAAGAAATTTGAACTAAAGTACAGTACTGGTAAGTAATGAAGTTTGGATTTGAGCCCTGAAATTTCCCTTAAACAGTTCACTGCAGTGGTTTTCAAAATTACATTCACAGAACCTTTTAAATCCCAAGAATTAACCGAAACTTTTATAGAATGAATATGGTACACCAAAGGGAACACATTAACTTTTGCTGCCAGGTAAATTCACTTTTGTGTGGACCCTAGAATAAAGCTGGTCCTAGCCTGGCACAGTGGCACATGCCTGTAATTCCAGCTACTTAGAAGACTGAGGCGGAAGGATCATTGGAGGCCAGCCTGAGAAACTGAGCGAGACACTGTCTCAAATATAAAAAACAAAAATGGCTGGGGATGTAGCTAAGTAGTAGAGAATCCCAGTTTCAATCCCCAGTATGGGATTGGGAGGTGGGATTGGGAGGTGGGAATGGGAGGGGCAGATAGGCAGATGATGACACGACACTGGTTCTATTACCTCAGAGAGAGCTTATTGAAACATCTTGTAATTGATTTGGAAAAATAACTTTGCATTTTTTTTTTTTTTTGGTTATTTGGTGCTTGCGATTGAACCAGGGGGTACAGTCACATCCCCAGCCCTCTTTTTGTACTTTATTTAGAGACAGGGTCTCACTGAGTTGCTGAGGTTGGCAATCCTCCTGCCTAAGACTCCCAGGCCACTGGGATTACAGGCGTGCACCACTGCACTGTTTTTTGTTTTTATTTTTAACTCAAGACTGCATCTGTCTGCTCAGGTAAAGTTGAACAGTGAGTGCTCAAGCAAATACTAGGAAAAGTTCAAGTGCATCTTATCACAGCACAAGAGTACAACAATGAAAAGAACATATTATCGCATTCACATATCATAGATTCCAAGCTACCAGATTCATGGGCATGCACCACCACGCCCACCTTATTATTCCCCTTTTAAGCCACAGAATATCTAACTGAAGGGTAGATATGGCAAGAAAAATTGTTAAGAAAAAAAAAATCATATCCACTACTCCATTTCAGTCGTACACTCTCACTGTTACACTGTGGAGCTTGTGCCCACAATCCTCTGTCATGCTACTTTGCCATACAATTATTCCCACCCAGACTGGTCCTCAATATTATTGGGTCCACTGTTCCATTGACTATAAACCATGTGCTACTTGACTGGCCAACCCAACACTGCTTTCCTTTATTTACTTCTGCTCTTTATCCAGTGGAGCTTTCATAAGCCATCATTACAAAGATACTTTGGCCAACAGCAGGGCATGGTGGCACACACCTGTAATCCCACCTACTGGAGAGACTGAACTCTGAGACTGCTGAATTCCCTCAGCAATTTAGGGAGACTTTGTCTTAAAAACAAACAAACAAATAAATAAATAAATAAAGGGGGGGGGGGGCTGGGGATGTAGTTCGTGTTAAATTGCCCTGGTATCAATCTTGTGCGTGTGTGTATACAAAGACACTTTGTCCAATACTATACATCTTGACTGCTTTGTCATTTTATTGTATGTACCTGGCAAACCCTAACCTTCAATGACACTTTCTACAGGATCTCACATTAGTACTCTTGATGCTTTCTTATTCCCAAGAACATCTAGAAAATTAACCTACTTCAGCTACACTGGTACCAAAGTAGCTGAGCACTACTAGAAAAATCAGTAGAACCAACAGGTTATCACATAGTATGTTCCTCACTACCAGCTTCCACAAGGCAGCCATACAATCCTACTATGTTGGCATGCTCTTTCTGCAACGAAACTTTTTTTGTTTGTTTGTTTGGAACATTCTACTTCCTTCAAACCTTGAACTATCATCCCTCCCATGTCTGTGGCAATTTACAGTCAATGATTTTGCCTCCAAATCTGAAAGAGTTGTACTCATCCTACCCTTGCTTTCTTTTGAATGAAAGAGAAGTTTGCTATGTTTCATCTTCTCAGGAATATTATACCATTACTTCTTTCTTCTCCTATATAGGTAATACTTTCCTCTCTCAATTATAACAGTCCCAGGGACATTTAGTCTATCAGGATTTCCCGTAATACTCCTTTACAAAAAGGATCCCTCTGTTAAAAACAGTGAAAATTCATTGTCTCTAAGTCTGTAAAGCCCCAAATAAAGTTTCTTAAAAGGAATCACTACACATATAATTAGGATTAAAAACAACAATGGTAATGAGCAGGATGTCACCCATATAATTGCACAAATTGTCTGGAATCACCAACACTTTCAGAAACAGTTACACCAAATTCTAAACCATCCTGATACTTTCTTATAGGCTTTACAATGAAAAGCTCTGCTAAAACTCCACAGCCAAGAAAAGTAGCAGAATTCTTTAGTGTAATTTTAATAACCAGTAAATGTGACAGCATGATTTTGTGTCACTAGGTCTAGATCAGGGGAGAGAAGGAAGGGAGGAAGAAGCAACAAATGCCCCAGCTACAGCTTCTTTTTTTAAGAGCTAAAAATATTGCAGGATAAATACAGAACCATAAGTAATACTTAAGAACTAAGTTTGACAGCATAGTGATACATTTTTGTAGCAAACTGTTCATGCAAGGAGCTTGACATTCCCAATCCTCAATATTCCCTTTGCCTGCACTGGATAAGCAGTTAAAAAAAAAAAAAAGACTCATTCCTTAATTCCTGACACCTGTTTACATTAATTAAAGGTTGGGTCTCACAGATCTACAGGAAGGGAGAGAGATGGGGAGGGAGAAGAGATGAACAAGTGAGAAAAATCTTGCCAGCACGTTCACCTGAGATACCCGCCTCTTTCCTGGAGGGCAGCACCTTGCCTCTCCTGTCTACAGCTCCGTGGCGTCACAGCAGCCGCTGCTACTGCTGCTGGGCTGCCTGCAACTCTAATGTGTTATTTAATTTTGTAACTACTATTAAGACCTCTACAGTGTTTTTGTGATGCGCTGGAATGAAAGATGCTCCATAAAATGAAGTTTATTATTAGTATCATTATAGCTCCCGGGCCTAAAATAAAGCAAAATTATAACCACTTACATTTCAAAGGAAAAATTGGAAGCCACCAGTGTCTCCAGCCCCGCCAAGAGGGCAGGGGATGGGCTGGGGACGGGGGTCTGAGATCCCCAACCTCCTCCACCCGACTTGACCCCCTCAGCTCTCCCTGCACCGCCGCGGGGGCACCACTCCCAGGGTGCAGCTTCCTCGGGGAGCTCGGGTGGGGGTCCAGGGTCGGTCCGGCTGCCTCGCCCCGCAGCTCTCCCCACCCGCTGCCCCGCTCCCGCCCCAGCCTCTCCGCCTGGATTCTAATTCTCTCTCAGTTTCCTCCAGTCTCCCACCTTGACTTTTCCCCCCTCTTTTTAGAATCCTCCCTGCACCCGCTTCTTCCCCGGTGCTCGGCGCCAGCCCTGCCGGGTCTCCTCGGCCACTTTTTGCACAGGCCGGGGTACCGCAGGCGGCCGGCGGCGGCCGGGTCTCCGTCCCCTCCCCTTGCGCCCGGCTCCGCGGCCCGGCTCTCCGCTCCGCTCCGCCTGCCTCCCCCCAGGCCGGCCCCCGCCCGCGCCGCTCCGGCCGCCTCTCCCCCTCAGCCCGGGTCCCCCCGCTGCCCTCCGCCCCCGCCCGGCCCCGCGCGCCCGCCGCTCACCCGCCGACTCCCCGGTGTTGATCCAGTCGGGGTTGGCGATGCTGGCGATGGCGAAGATATCGGCGGCCAGAAAGAGACATCCTGAGATGATGGTCAGTTTATCCATCTCCCCGCCCCGCTCCCCCCACCCCCCGAGCCCCGGGCAGGCCGCGGCCTCAGGCCTCCCGCCCCATGGGCCGCCGCCGGGGCCCGGAGTCCCCGCGCCGCCGCCTCGCGCCCCCTCGGCCCCCGCGCGCCGCTCGCGCCCTCCGCGCGCCCGGGACCAGCAGCCGCCGCCCGCCCCGGAACTGCTCGGCCCGCCCGCCCCTCACCCGGAAGCGAAGCCGCGGCGCCGGCAGGACCGGCCGCGGCTTGCGACCGCCGAGCCGGCGGCGCTGCCCTGGACCTGGACCCGACGCTTGTCCAGCCCTTGCCCCGCTCTGGGGCTTTCCGGCTGGCCGCGCTGCCTCTCGACTTTCTTCCCAGGAATGACGCTGTCGTCGTCGTTAATGACTGGATGCCGAATGCTCCCGTCCCTAAGCTTTCCTAAGGCCACTGGGATGAGCGTGAGGGGAAGCCGCCCGCTTCTAGCAGGAGGCGGGCACCGCACGGTCCTTGTCACCTCGTGCTATCGTTACCAGCTCCGTGGCCGTCAGCTCCCGGGATTGGCCCGTGTGGGAAATAGCTCTTGACACCTACTGTGTGTCAGGCACTATAGATGCCGAGGGCACTGACGTGCGGGTGGGCAAAGACAAGCTGAAAGCCCATCTTTAAAACAAAATTTCAGGTGCTGATTTATGAACTTAATGGGGGGTCAGTGGGATAGAGGTTGGTGATACTTAATGATGGAGAGGAAGGGATACATTTATTTTCGCTGAGAATAACTAGGATCATAAAGGCTGATCTTATGAAGACTGTCCTAGACAAAGGCAACAGCAAGTGCAAAGACCAGACCATTAGGGGAGGCCACAGAGAAGAGACTGACACATTCAAGGACCTGCAAAATGGCCTGTGGGTTTAGAGAGTGGTGTGAGAAGCAGCAGGCAGAGACTAGATGAAAGGCTTTGGGGTCCATAGTAAAGCATCTGGATTTTGTTTCAAGAGCAACGGGAAGACACCGGAGGGTGACATGATTTTAATCTGTAAAGGTACGTAGTGTAGATTGTAGGGGGAAGGGGCAAAAATGAAAGCAGAGACATGACATAAGAGACAAAGTAGTCCAGGAAAGATAACTGTAATTTTGGGTAACAGTATTCTAGGTGGAAAAAATTTGACGTATTTGGGTGTTTTGTAGATAGAGGGAAGGACTTGCTGATAATGTGGGAGGAGTTGAAAGACAGAACTCAGGAATGACTCCAGGCTTTTGGCCTGAGCAACCAAGTTTGATGATAGATACTATTTAGTGAGTTGGGATGTAAGGAGAATCCTAGGCTGAATGGATAAACAGGAAAAAAAAATAAGATATTTGCATAATTTAGTTAGCAGTACAGATGATCTAGCCATCTACGATTTTGTTATCTGCTGGAGGGTTTTTGTTTTTGATTTTCCTTCCATGGCTTTTGGAGTAAGTGACACTAACTCTGACTTTAGATCCCACTCTCTCTATCCTGGGTAGGACTCCATGCAGCAAATAACAGGACACTTGTTTTCTCCTTAAATGCCACCTAGGTCATCTCTAGAAAGACCTAGAAGAGTGACATCTGACTCTATTTTTGGAAGGCCTACCTGAACACAAAACTCAGCAGGTTTCAAATTCCACCAGATTCAACAGCGTTGCAAAAAATGTGCAGTTATCCATGGCACAACATAGATTCGGGAAGAAAATATTTGATTGCTAAAGACTTTCTTGTCCAAACACTGGTCTCTTGGGAGAAGGACTTTGAAAAAATTATATAATGCAATTTTCTCTGCCACAGAAATTGACACAAGATAATTTATATGTTCCAAAGATCTAGATTAGTGCATATCAATATCATTATTTTTTCAAAGAATTTTTTATTTGTTCTAATTAGTTATACATGACTGTAGTCAATATATTATTGCAGTAGGTCTTTTCTTTTTTCTTTTTTAAGTACTGTAGAAGTTTGAGGGAGTCATGTTTTTGGCTTCTTGTCAGGTGTTTTGATTGCCTATTAATAGATGAAAAACCCTAACTATGCAGAACTAGGTTCTGGAATAATATCCACTGATGTTCACCACTGGCCTGCTAGTGAGAATCCTACATTGGAATGTTAAACAGTTTGCAACTATTCTGATTGAGTAGAATGATAGTGACTTGATTCTTTTGTTTAAAAAATACAGGTGTAGGGGCTGGGGTTGTGGCTCAGTGGTAGAGCACTTTGCCTAGCATGTGTGAGGCACTGGGTTCGATCCTCAAAACCACATAGAAATAAATAAATTAAATAAAGGTATTGTGTCCATCTACAACTAAAAAATAAAAAATACAGATGTAAATCTTCCTTTTACTGTGGCAGCACTTCCCAGACCCTCCTGCATTTATCCCTCCACAGAAGGTTCTAGATATCAGAGGAAAGCACAAAACAACCAGCACTGAGTTAAAAATTTTTTTTTAATCTTTTACTCAGATGAATGGCTATACATCATCATACAGGCCCTGCACACTCCTGCTGCACAACTCTGCTTTGCATAATAGATCATAGTGACCCATGCCTTCCCTTCCTACCAAAAGGATGGGGGTGGGATTAGTAGGGGCCAAATATAATATTTAAAGAGTTTCCCTTAAACCCTGATTTGGGTTCCACATCATATTCTTGACTTCCAGAATAACTGGTAATTCAGAGTCCCAAGCTGCTGAGGTTTACAGCACAAAGCAGTTCCCTTCTCTAGATTTTAGTAGAGACAAACCTGAGAGGTTTGGGAGGAGTGATATGCATATTTAGTTCCAGTCCTGCTACTGACTTGAACTTGGGAAAGCCATGTCACCTCTTCTGGCCTTTTTTCCCTATCTAACCAGACAGACACCCAGAGTCACTGCCTTAGTGATAGAAGCATCCTATCCTCTCACCCACACCTAAAAAAACAGCTGGGACTCTTCTAATCAGAGATGAGCTACGAGGCTCTTTATGGCAGAAAGTCCTTGGGGATCCAGAAGAACATAGAAGGCTCACAGGGGGAGCTCTGCTGGAAGCCCAAAGACATAAATAGCCATACTGTGGCTGTTAAGGAGCCATGGATGTGATGTGCTTGATCATGATTGATGACAGGCCTCAGCGCAGAAGAGGCTGAATCCAGATGGGACCTTGGGAAAGCTGTGGAAGGGAGACTGGTGTCATCACTCTATTTTAAGGAGTATCTTTGGCCTGACAGAATAAAGAACACACTTCCTCTCTAGGGGTCAAGTTTACTATGTGGGCCAAGAATGTGGAGAAAACACCACATGTATATATCAGGGGGTTTCTGGGATTAAGGAAGACCAAAGAGCCAAATCCAGAGGTTAACAGCTTGGTCAGGGCTCAGATCATGGTTTGTCTCCTACACTGATTCCCCTGGAGCTGACTCAGAGGCAAGAGATTATTGATCAGTGTGCAGGAAATTTATTAGTGAGTGCTCTCAGATCAACTCCTGTGAGGGAAGGAAGGGAGGCAGGATTGGACACAGAAAACAGGGAGTCAGAAGAGACTTTGGCAGACTCAGAGGGGAGCTCTGAAGCTGAGATGGCAATTTCAAGTTGCTGTGTTGGGATAAAGAGGCCAAGCCTTTACATTCTTAGCACTGACCAGTCAATCACTGGATTAGCTAGCTACCCCAGGAATGGGGTGTGACCTTAGGGAAGGTGGCTCTCTGCAGCCAAGCACAATTCCTCAAGAAGACCAACAGCAGAGATCTGTCAACCTACAACTCTTTCAGTAACTGGGGAATAATTCTTTAGTCCTGAAGGGGACCTAGTGGCACATCAGCATCTGCCACAGTGCCTCCATGGTGCTCAGCAGATCATTAGCATTTTGTATTATGCTCCATAATAATAATTTTTAGAATTTCCTTATATCTTCAAATAAAACTGATCCCCCAGGAAAATGGGCCATATCTGTCCAGTTACTTGAATTCCTATCACATCACTCATTGTTGGTCCATGTCCTACCCAGATTTGAGAAGCACTGCTCTATTGCAGTAGAAAACATATCTACTATCTTTAACATCCCAATTCTCAACTTTGACTTGTTTCTTTTAAGTCCTGAAAGTGGCCCCTCCAGGACTCTGGTGGGTATCTTTTCTCTTGGGAAACTACTGGAGGAATGTGGCAGCTCATCTTGAAGCATAACTGACATCCTCGTCATTTCGCTCTTTGACTCACCCAAGATTCCTCTCACGCCTTGCCAGCACCTCTGATGGTCTAGGTGGCTCATATGGTAGAGTGGCCTAGACCTCCAGCCCTCAAGTTTAAGGCCCTGGTTGCCATGTACCTTTCAGGCTGTGGCTGCTGTATTTGTCCAGTTAGTTACTGTCAAAATATGACAAAGGAGGACTACAACACCTAAGTGGATCATCTGGGTGCCACAGGTCACCTGCTTCCTGTCCTTATGTGTAGCAGCCACCTGCTTCCTTCCTGGTGATTACTCTTCCTGACAATTCCTTAGCCTAATGAATGTCTGATACATGATACCTGCTCTTAAATTTCCTTTCCCTGGTATACCATCCATTTACTACCAGGAAAGCATTTGCCATCTTAATGCGTCCCTGTGCCAGAGGCTGCCTATGCTTCTTTGTGTTTGGAACCTCATTAAATTGGGTGATCCAGCTCCCATATCTCATCTGGGCATCTACTCCTTCAGATCACCTCTGGCACTCTCTGTTGCTGGTTGGGGTCTTTAGAAGACAGATTCCAAGTCACAGGGAGTTTGGTGGGAGAGTGCTTTTGGGGCCCACCCCTGTGGGCAGAGGGAGAAGTCTGGCTGCAATACCACCATGACAGGGCCTGACAGTGGACCCCATAGAGAGTTCTGAAGCCGGGATGGCCCTGTGCTGTCAGTCATTGGATTCTAGCTGCCCTGGGAAGGTAGGATCTTGGGCAAGGGGCTCTCTCAGCCAGCAGCAGGGAATGGTGAATTGGGGGAGGCATAAGTCCTTCAGCCCTGAAGGGGGACCTGGGCAAAAGAGCACAGCATCCATGACAATTTGTATCCTGCATTTATACCATAAGCCCTTAAGAGATTTTTCTGTCTGGCATGGAGAGAAGACTCAGGTGCTTAAATCCCACAAATCTCACCATTTCCCTGCTGATGGGAAGACAGAGGCAAAGGGTACATTTTATGAAAGAATTTATTTGTTATCTAGATAGATCCCTGCCAGACTATTTGGAAGAGGAAACAGGTGACCTATCACAAGAAACCACTGGCTGAAGATTCCTTGAGGTTGACAGTAGCACTATATGTGAGGTTCAGTGACACAGGATTTATCCAATGAGAAATCTGGCCTGTCTGGGTAGTGCCAGAAAACCAGCAGAATAAGCTGGGCCTACTCAGTTTACCAGAGAAATCTTAGCACAGCTCCTGACATCTGATAGGTGAATGCCTTTAGGCAAGGTGCTTAACCTCTTGGTTTCTGCAGAGTGGGGACCTACCTCATGTTATTTCCTCCTCCTTCTCTTGCCCAGGCCTTTATCTCCTACCTCAGCCTCTTCAGTTGTTGGCATCTCAGGCATGTGCCACATGCCTAGAATTTATTTTGAAAATTTATGTTTTCATAAAATTGTCCCCATTGTCTGTTTTTCAAGCATAAATTCCAAGAGGATAGGGCCCTGTTTGTCTTGTCTACTTTGTCCCCAGCATCCCCACAAACCACAGCGGCTTCCAGTGAATATTTGCTGTATGAGTGAATGTGTGTGGGAGGAAGGGTTATTTTGGAAAAAAGAAGGAAGCATTAATCCCTCTCTTAATAGTGACTCATTGTTTTCAGGCCACCCTTGGCCTTTTCTCAACCAAAACATCTATGAAAAAAGTGTAATGGCAAAGCAATTGGAGCTGTTGATGCAACAGTATTTAAAAATACCATCATTAGGCGTGCAGCAGGGGACTGTGATCTTCTAGGGATTCTGTGATCTTCTAGCTGTGCTTTCCCTCTGCCATCTTTGAGAAAACTCCTCTTTGCTTTCTGCTCCGTCCCATTTGGGTTTCATCACCAATGAATGAAGAACCCAGTGTGAGCCTGGCACTCTGCCTGTCCCCGCAGAAGTTCCATTCTTTCCACCCCAAAGTTTTCACATGCCACATTGGAGTGTAACACCCCTGCCAAGTTTTCCAAGGTCCACACAGCCCTGGAGGCTCCCACACTGCGGTTCAGCCTCTGCGCGGCGGCCTCGCAGTGCCCCCTGGCGGTCAGCCCGAGGGACGGCGCCCGAAATCTACTGGCGGCCGGGGGTGGGGGGGTGGGGGTGGGGTTGCCTGCAGTGCTGCCCTGCGCGTGCTTCTGCAGGATTCGAAATTGCTGGCCGTTAGACGCGCTCCAGCCTAGGCTCCAGGAGGTTTTCCTGAGTCGCCCACCCTCCCGGGGACATGGAGAAGTCCAAGGGAAAATGCGGATATGGTAACTGGGGAGAATGGGGAGAGGGTGATGTCTTGGGTTTCAGGCTATATTCACTTTTCCTCTTCTGTAAAATGAGGACGTCACATCCTTGGCCTGGAAGCTAACCTCTCACCATTGTCTATTAAGGTATAATTTACATTCAGTAGGGCCTCCCTTCTTAGTGGACATCTCATTGAGTTTCGACAAGCATACATCCACATGGAACCACCACAAGACAGGGAATATACTACCACCCCCCAAATTACACTGAAGCCGCCCTTTGGTAGCCTACCTCTTCCTTCTCCCTACTTTCTCACACTCTGATTTTTTAGAATTGTGTGTTTTTCCATGGAGAATGTCATAAAAATGGAATCATGGATGGTGCTGTTTGAGGCTGGCTTCATTTGCTTACCCTGCTGTCTTTTGAATCTAGGCTCCATAGACTACATCATAAAGCACATTTAATTTGCAGGCTGAGGTTGGGACCCAGACCCTGCAGAGGATGAGCTTCTCTGTCTGCCCAGGAACCAGAGGCCCAAAGAAGAGCATACCTGGGCCCCAAATTGCCCCTAAAAAAACTCTGAAGACCTTATCTTCTTTTTCCTGGGTAGTTTTCCAGCCAGAAAGTGTCTGTGGTTCGGGGGAAGATGAGATTGGAGATGGGCAAAGACTTTTGTTTTGAGGAAAGGGAGGTGAATTCTGCCAGTTCTCTACAGCTGGGTGAGCCCCTCTCTCAGCAGACCATGAAAAACAGCAGTCACATGGACATAGCAAGGACTTGGCCAGTTGCAGTGTGTCACTCATCCTAATGGAATCAGCTGTGTATGGAATTCTGGAACAGTGTGCAGAAAACAGCTCTCCACACAGAACTTTCCTGTGTACTGAAAAAGAGCCTTCTAGAAGCTTCCTCTGGAGGAAAAAAATCACTTGTTTTCAATCACTCCTTAATCCTTGAAATTTCCTTGTGAGAGTTGGTTCTATAAAAAGCATGTTTCAACATCTCTACAACTCACTGTCCCAAAGGCCTTTGGATTTCCTTCCCAAGTCCTTTTTGGATCCGTCTACTGTCCATTTCCTCTGTCACCACTATGACATACCTGGGTGAATGCAGTAACCTTTCCATTTCTCTAGTCAACTCTGGGTTCCACAACCCACACACCTGACCCAGCAGCCAGAAGTTTGATTTAAATGCAAACTGAATCATGTCCAGTTTAAATCACTTCTGAGCTTTTTCATTAGGGCAAACCTGAGCACCAGCCCCTGTCAGCCCCACCATTGGGCCTCTGGCCGCCTCCTACTAGTGGACTCCTTCATATTCCCAGCAGGGCTTCGGGAATCTCAGAACCTTGATCCAATTTTCTCTCTCCCTTCCTCTTTTGAGTAAATAGTTTTGGTCCTTTCTAAATTTGTATTTACCCTCTCAGGAAAGCTCAATTGAGGGACCCTCCCCAGAAGAGAATGAGGCCCCCTGCTGTTTATCCTGAGTATTATTTTTTCTTTCATAGCTTGTGATATAGTTTGTTATCCAATGTAGATTTATATAACTGATATTTGTTTCCTTCCCTGTCTACAAGATCCATAAGGGCATGGTAAGTGGTAAGCACAATAAGTATTTGTTAAGTGAACTGATAATAATAATAACTGATATTGATTAAACCCCCATGGTGTGTCTGACATTGTGCAAGAGCCCTTGAATAGACTCATGCAATTCTCATAACACTTTTGTAACCCTCATTTTACTGATGAAGAAACTAAGGAATAGGTAGATTTCATAACTGCCCCAGCAGCCTGGCTTCAGAACCCCAGAAACTATTGCCATGATGCTGTCTCAATAAATAACTGAAACAAGTTCCCCTCTTTCTATTAGGAAAACAATTCAGCTTTGAGTTCAAGAACTCTGTACACAACTTGAGCAAAACACAGCAGACCAAACTCACTGTGGGCAGACTGGGATTAGGCCTGATCATCATCCAGCATGGGCCCTACCTCCAGATTTCCCACCTCATCAAAAATGGGGCTGCAGCCAAGGACCGGAGACTCAAGCCAGGTGACTGTGGTTTCCCCATGTCCCCCTCTCCTCTGCCTTCATGGAGCCACACAGTTTCAGCATAACCATAATAATATGATGACATTGGTTGAGAACTCTCTGCAGTCAGTCAATTGCTATCCCATACATATAACTCTCACTGTCAGAAGTGCTTATTCATTTAATTCTCTAGGTAGGAACTGTTATTATCATCCTCTTTTTACAGGTGAGGAAACTGAGATTCAGTGAGACTGAGTTTCTTGTCCAGGTCATGTGCACCTTGTAAGTGGCTACAACTGGAAGTCCAGTGTCACTCCAGAGCTTATGTCTCTCTGTGATAAGGATTTCTTCTCTTCTAGGCAGTATTAATCATCACTAACACTTGGACCCATTATGATGTTTCACCCTCCTGAAAACGCAAGAGGTAGATTCTGCATTAATCCACCTTACACACAAAAAATCAAATATTTACCCACAGTCACACCGAGGAGCTAGGATCTGAGAGCCCCAGGGTTTTACAAATCTTTGGGTGAATGCGTGTTCTATCTGGTGTGAGACATTTTCCCAGTGCCTCCTCCAGGCCTGGTGCTATGCCCAGGAGTGAAGCACAGTGGGATGGTGAAGTGGTCAAAAGGAAAAACAAAACATTTCAGGTTAAGCAACCTGAATTCTGGCCCAAGCTCTGTCACTTTCTAGCTCTGTGCTGTTGGGTAAAGGTCCTTAACCTTCCAGGTCTCAGTCACCTCATCTCTAAATTGGGGGGATCCCATCTTTGTCAGGGGTTGCTAGGATTTGATGAAATAATTTTTATGAAAGTGCTTTGAGAACTTCAAGTGCTCTAGAAAAATTGGCAATTGTTACACTGTTCTGATTTATAGATTCTCTATATTTGTGTCTTTTTTAAAAAAAAATAAAAAATGATTGTGATATACGAGTCCCAGTTACCTGGTTACCTGTTAGAATCACCTGGGCCCCGTCTCCCCACAGGTTCTGATTCAACTGGTGTAGGGTTAGGACAGGGCAGCTAGCTCATGCTTTAAAATCTCCTCAGATGACTCAGATAGGGTTTGAAGCAACAGATTAAAAAATAAAATAGATAAATGTTATATTGAAAGATTAACTTGTCTTAAAATCCAAAGCATTTTCTCCCCATATCACTACTTGGTGCTGAGGAACAAACTGCTGGAGAGTTCTGGGCTCCTTATACTGTATTAAGTCAGCTTTCTGTCACTGTGACAAAATGCCTGAGGTAAACAACTTATAAGGAGGAAAGGTTTATTTTGGCTAATGGTTCAGAGGTTTCAGTTTCATGGTTGGTTGGCTCTGTTGCTTTGGAACTGTGGCAAAGTAGCACATCATGGTTGGAGTGTGTGGCAGAGAAACCTACTCATCTCCTGGCAGCCGGGGGGCAAAAAAAAAAAAAGAGAGAGAGAGATGAAGGGGCCTTTTACTAGGCTCTACATCCTAAAGGTTCCAGCATTTTTCAGTGGCTCCACAAGCTGGTGATCAAACCTTCAATACACAGACTGAAAGAACTCCAGGTCAAGTTCCATGGACTTTCCTTGTGTTCAGCTCTTGAGTCAGGTGACAAATGCTGGTTGGTAACCAGGTGCATACTCCAGGGTGCTAGAATGCAACAAGAGTGTGTTCTGGTTCATCCCTGTGACACAGAATCTCATGGTGGGGCTACAGCTGGTGGGCTCTTTGAGGTGAGAGAGGCAGTCCCAAATTCATCTTTTTCAATCCAGGACTTACCTCCAGGTCTGGCACGTTTATTATGTATTTGTCCCAGGCATTGTACAAGATATTTCTACGTTTATTATTGAATTTTGCATTTGCAACACTCCTAGAATGTAAATAATGAAATATAGAAGCTTAGAGAGATGAAGTAATTTGCTTAGAATACATGGCTTAGTCCATGGTCCGAGCTGGGATTTGAACCCATGTCTGCCCGGATAGGGTAGGGTTAGGGTTAGGGTTAGGGTTAGGTTTATAGCCATATCTTTCTAGACAATTGCCTAATAACTAGAAATCAGATTTTAGTACATAAGGAGTCCAGAGTCCCAGATTTCTTCATGAGAAGTCAGCGACTTCAGTCTCTGTAATTCGTTTTTTATAAATAAGATCATGGAAGGCAATAAGTGTAGAAATTCGCTATTTCTTTGGTTTCATTGCCTCTCAGTCCCATTATTTCTTATTCCTGTGTTTTAAAGCTTCTTCTTTGGTGATTCATGATGGAGTTTCATCTCAAATCTCCTGATTTAGTTTAGTGTTAGTTTATTCTGGCTAAACTTTAGATCCACCTTGGCCATTATGGCTTCAACAGACTGCCAAACAAAGTCTTAAGAAATTAATGCTGCTTTGACAGTAGCTAACCTGTGCCCTGGCCACTGCTCATAGCAGGCTTCATTCATTCAGTCAGTATTTCCTGAATGTCTGCTGTGCACACGCACCCAGCTAGGCACTGTGGGTACATTGGGGAGCCAAGCAGATTCGGTCCCTAACACATAGAACTTAAGCAACTTATAGCCTTGTTGGGAGGGACAGAGAAAAAAATGTATTTTTCAGTAGCGACACGAGTGCTACAGAGTTGATTTAATATAGGTAATCGAGACAAAGTTTATGCAATGTCATTCTACAGCCCATTAAAACAGAAAAGAAGATGTGTAATGAATTTGGTGTTCATAAACACCAAATTGGTGTCTCCCTATGAAGGGCAGTGTTAATGCCTATTGCCAGAGTAATCACATTCGTAAGCTGACACACTTGGTTTATAGCCAGAACGGTCAGGGTATTAAGCTGTTTATTTTCTGCTTTCTTGATAAAGTCACCCTTTTACAACATAATTAAGCACAATGCCAAGTCATAGCTTTCAGCTATAAACACTCCTTTTAACATTAGGCAAGTAAGCTCATCCACAGAGGGATTTTTCCCCCATTGTAATTAACCTCAGTCAGAGGAGCAGCTGCTTCATACTGTGTGGCCTGCAGGGAGCTGGGAGAAGCCTTGTTTTTTATGAAGTGTAGCTTCAGGTATGTGGCTGATTTAACCCACAGCTAATTCCTAAGACCAAGGTAGAAGGTTTTCTCTATCCTTCTAAGTATTCATTTACTGGAATACTAAGCACTTGTTTCTGATGGGTCTAGCACTGTGGAAATCCTTGGTGATCACTGTAATTTCTGACTATAGCTCACTGGGATCAGAGAAAGTGCTTCTTCTTGATCCTTTTCTCCTCTGAGGTTGAGTTTCATCTGTCTTGGAATGATTGGAGCATGCCTAGTTTTCCACACTCGGAGACGTGAACACGCCTTTTATAACTTCATCCAGGCCACTTTATCCCATGTCAGCTCTGAAGTTTCTGTTACTGTTGGTAAGATGTCAGTACCTAGTAAGCTCTGAGGACTAAGATTTTGCCCAGTGTGAGTCTGGCCTTGAACAGCATATCTCTTCTCAAAGTCTGCTGAAGGCAAGTGGCATTCAGAGTTCTTCACTGCGAGCGACAGAAAACAGATGAGGCACTGAATTTAGGATACTGCATCTGCCCGAACTGCCTGCCCAACAGGCTGGAGAACCAGGCTCAGAAGATAGGGAGAGGGGCTGGGGATGTGGCTCAAGCGGTAGCACACTCGCCTGGCATGCGTGCGGCCCGGGTTCGATCCTCAGCACCACATACAAACAAAGATGTTGTGTCCTCCAAAAACTAAAAAATAAATATTAAAAAAAAAAAAAAGAAGATAGGGAGAGAAGAAAGGGCCATGTGTAGCTGTTCCTGGAAACCGCATGCTCCTGTCATTGCCCTGCATCTCCTCCAGGTTCAGTGACCCAGATGGGAGTGCCTGGTGACTGCACTGGTTTATAGGCCCATATCAGCCTGGTAGGGTAGGGAGGCAGGGGAGGTGGGTGCAAGTAAAGAATTGGTTTCTTAGCTTTTCCATTTTGGGGACCCAGGGGTTTGTTGCCAAAATGTAGTTCTCTTTCCACCTACTGGGGGCTCAGAAACTCCCTCTCTGTCCAGCATTGACCTAAAGTAGGGGATCCAAGCTGTCAAATTCCTTTCAATATACTCTCTGTATATACAGCTTCAGCATAATTAAAGCAAGCTAATTGCCCAGTGTTTCATACAAAATTATGTGCCCAAGTAATTCTGCATGGGGCAGAAAATGGAAATGAAAGGCTTGATTAATATAGTCTATTTATGGTGGAGGGCTCTGGAAATTGCCAGGCAGGTATAATAGAAAGTGGGTCATTAATTTATCACTTAGTGTAAATGTTTTTTTCCTTTACTAGTAACAGCCATCCATTTTATCTCAAATTAATATATTTTTAGAATCCCAAAGGATGGTTCAGACTATAAATGGTTTATAGCCTCTGTTATACCAAGAACTTTAGAAATGTCTCATGGTTTAATATCCTCCATTATACTGCTATTAAGAAACATCTTGTAAATATTCTTCATTATACAAAGGACATTCATGTCAAAGAGATGAATATTTTTAATAAGTCAAGGCTGAAGCCTAGTTTTGGTTCAAAATGAACTAACAATATAAACAGAAATTCCACAACCAAGTAAGAAATCAATATGGTCCTTTCCAACCCATTATCTTAATTTTACTGATAATATTTCTCCTCTTTTAGGTGATGTTCTGATTAGTGTTGGCCATGCCAACGTATTAGGATATACTCTTCGAGAATTTTTAAAGCTTTTGCAAAATATCACCATAGGAACAGTGCTACAATTCAAGGTTTACCGAGATTTTATTGCTATACCCCAAGAATGGCAAGAAATATATGATTTAATCCCTGAAACCAAATTCCCAGTGACACGGTAAGTTGTTCATTTTAGGAACTCTTTGTTACAATACAGACCCCCAGGTCCTGGGAAGCACAGGGTCCTGATTTAATGTGAGAATAATCAAATGGTAAGAACCGTGGTAGAAGAGATGGGTGACACTGCCGGAATAATTAGGTGAATTTCCAAATCCATTTGGAAAGCATAGGTGACTGACCTCATTTGAAGCAGCATGATAAACACAACTTATAGTTAAAAAAGCTATAACCAGCAGTCGCTGATAGGAAGACTGTCCCCAAAACACCTGCACTGTGCCTCTCTGCAGTCAGACCTTAAAACACGCTGGGAATCCTGTCTCCTTTCTTAATTGCCAACTTCTTTCTCTCTGGTTCCCAGTAACAATTAAGCCCTTTCAAGTTTCTTTCATGTTAGCAAACCCACCAACTCCATGCCCCTCTTCCTACTGGCTTCAATCACTGCCCTGTCCCTTGCCTCCCCTATCAGAGGTCTCCATTTTCTCCGCAGATGCACTTTCCAGGGAGAAAGTGACTCCTTGACTCGCTTCCGTCTAGGTTTTGCTTTTATCCCTGGCTCAGAGGCCCCTTCCTAAGGTCATACATGTCCTTCATGCTGATTCTGATGGACTCTTCTCAGTCTTTATTTTGCTTGGCTTCTGAGCAGCTTTAGAGACTTGGCAACGACCTTCCTTCCCTTCTTCTTGACATATCAGTTTCCTCAGGTTTCTGTGTTACCTTACTCCCTTGATTTTCTGGTTACCTCTGGTCACCTCCTCTTGGTCTTCTGCCCAACTCAAGTTCTTCTCGGTTTAGTCCTTGGCTTTTTTTTTTTTTTTTTTTTAGTTGTGGATGGACACAATACCTTTATTTTGTTTATTTAGTTTTTTTTATGGGTGCTGGGGATCGAACCTAGTGCCTCGTGCATGCTATGCAAGAGCTCTACCACTGAGCCACAACCCCAGTCCCTAGTCCTTGGCTCTTTTAGGCAACCTCACCGATGCCTGTGGTCACTACCTGTACACTAATCACTTCCATATTGTGCTATCTCCAAACTTGTGAACACAAATTTTTCAGTGCCCACCCGATGTCTACATCTGGATTTTTCATAAACCCCTTAAACTCATGCTTAAAATAAAGTCACCTCACCAGTGATCTTTCAGTGGTCCTATCTTACTGGGGGAATGTCTCCCTACTTGACAAGGGTTGTGCTTGTGCTTGGTTCCTCTATCCTTGACCCTGCCAACCAACCACTAATACTATTATTGTCATTTTCCTTATCTTCTCACATTTATCTGCTTCTGTCCCTGGCTATTACCATCGTCCTAGACAAAGCCACCATTTAGTTCTTCCTGCATCTATTCCCACCTCTTATTCATTCTCTATTCAGGGTGGTCCTTTTACAATGCAAATCTAATCAAGTCATATTCCAGTTTTAAAATGACAAAAATCCTTACCTTGGCCTATAATATTATGGTCTGACTGGGCACCATTCCAGCTTCATCTCACACTCTTTTCCCCCTTTATCTAGCCTACTTTAGATTTCAGTTTTCTGCCTTGTGTTTTTCCCCCTACAATGTGCTTAGTAGAGTGCTGTTCTTCAGTACAGCATCATTGAAAGCTCACAGTGCAAGCTTTCTCTAAGAGGCATTAAAACAGTTGGGACCACCTGTCATGTGCTCTCATAGCACCCTATATATCTCCTCCATATTTATCCCACTTTTAATTCAATCATCTGTACAATCAGTTGTTTGCTATGCTTCCCTAGGAAAATGCAAATGCCATGTGTCTTGTTCTGCTAAATCTATTATGGGACTTCAATGTGGTGGAGGCTTCATTTATTGAAAGCGAAAAACGGAAATCCAGCTAGGAATCTCAAATTACCTAAATAATCCGACAGCTTGTTTCCTTCTTTCCTTCCTTGCCCAGGCTGGCCTCAAATTTGGGATCCTCCTGCAATCCTCCTGCCTCAGGATCTCAAGTAGCTGGGATTGAGAGCTTGTTTCTTTATCTGTAACAGGGACTCTTGTGAGGATCAGATATATGAGGGAGCATTCTGTGGAACACAAGGTGTAGAATGAGATTATTTTGTGTTGAATTCAATTCTCTGATGCAAGAGTGATCCTCAATTTTGTCAGGATTTCTACACTAGATTCTTGTCACTGTGTAAACTCCCTCTTTCCCCCGCCCCCTAGTATTGGAGATGGAGCCCAGGGCCTCACACATGCTAGGCAAGCACTCTGCCACTGATCCCCAGCCCCAGCCCTATACTTTCGCTTATAGGGATAGACTCAAAGGATATGGCCAGGATTTTTACAAAGCCTAGAAAATGGCCCATATTACATCAACTTTATTTCAGAGACTCAAACTTGTGGCCAAGGATCTGAAGTGGTACCCAGATATGCTTTGGTCATTTCTCACAGCACTTAGAAAACCCGGACCTGTAGAGAGCAAGGAAGATACATGGGGACTTCACAAGGGACCAGTAACACTCCATTCCTTGACCTGGCAGCAGCCACCAAGGTGTCTGCTTATAATATTTTTCATTAAATTGTTTTTTCACACTTTCTGTGTATTTTTTAAAGCATTCCCACATGGTGACAGTGGGTTTGAGCTGGGGAGCAGCTGTCCTCTTCAGATCAGGCAGGCTGGAAAATATTATTTTTTTCCCCAGTGACCAAACCAATCCTGATCTGATTTAAAATAAGTAAAATTAAGTCAGGAATAGTGTGTGCACCTGTAATCTCAGTAACTAGGGAGACAAGCAGGGGAATTACAAGTTTGAGGCCAGCCTGGGCAATTTAGCAAAACCCTATCTCAAAATAAAAAATTAAAATAAAGGCTGGGGATATAGCTTAGTGTAGAGCCCTCCTGGGTTTAATCAAGTACTGAAAATTTTTTTTTTTTTAAATTTAAAAATAAGCCCAGAGCCGTGGCACACACCTGTAATCCCAGCAGTTCGGGAAGCTGACATAGGATTTTGAGTTCAAAGCCAGCTTCAGCAAAAGCGAGGTGCTAAGCAACTTAGTAAAACCCTTGTCTCTAAATAAATAAGTAAATAAATAAATAAATAAATAAATAAAGGGCTGGGCATGTGGCTCAGTGGCCAAGTGCCCTGAGTTCAATCCCTGGCACACCCCTCACACAAACCCCGCCCAATTTTAAAAATAATAGCATACACTTACTCATTGCTTCTTGTGTTGTGGCCAGGGCAAGGACTTTACAATGTCAGTGACAACTTTCTGTGGTAGTGGAATGTTCTGCATCTGAGTTGTCCTATAGGCTAGCCACATGTGACTATTAAGCATTTAAATATGGGGACTGCACCTGGGGAATTTTAATTTTTATTCAAAATATTCACACGTAGCCAGCAGCCTGTTTTGGATAGTGCAGCTCTAAAGCCGGGGCCCTTAACCATTTCCTTGTAGAACTGCCATGTCCTAAGCTTGTTCATTACATGGAAAGAGTCTGATATTCTGAATATTAAAAGTTAATGATGGCAGACTGACCATTCAAAAGCAGAGATAAACAGAATAGCACAACTGAACCCCACAAACTTACAGAATGATGACACATTTTCTTTCTTAACTAAGCAAAGTACTTCTGTAAGGTATTTTAGTAACTTATGTGGAAGGGGTTAGCAAAGGGGAAGATGGGGAAAGGAAAGGGCTTTTATGGTATGACCTTTTCTAGGAGCAGATGGCACTTCGTGCACAATAGAATATTCCATATTGTGTTCTGGGTAGTCTAGTGGTATAAGATCTATATCCAGCCCACACTGTCCTCTGCTGGCTGTGTTTTTATTATCTGTTGCGATAATGCTAGTTTAATTAAAGTGCCTAGCCCTACCACCTGTCCTTTACAATTGCCTAATACAGAATTACCAAGAATACCTCTTGCAATCTGAAAAAAAAGTAACTTGGATTTTTTCCTTTTCTTTTCAAATGGTTCCAGTCCTAGATCTTCTTGCATGACCCTAAGCTAAGGATAAGGAAATCACACCATGTAAGACTAGATGCTTTCAGTAAAAATGACTTAATATTAGAAGAGAGAAACCTCAAAACAAAAACCAGGCAGACTGGCAAGGATATTAATGATAACACCAAGAAGTCTGATGGATTGATTGGCAGAGAGGGTGGGGAAGAGATGTGTTTTGTATTAGCAGAACAGAATGTGTCAAAGGGTTAGAATCGCAAAGATCTAGTTGTAGACTTCGCAGGCAATAGCACCAGGATGAGAGAGAGCAGGTGATGGATGGTATTTGTTCTGCAAAGATTAGCAAGCGCCAAGTATTAGAAAAGTCCAGAGCTTTGTAGTTCCTAGCAGGCAAACACCACGTAAATTTCAACAATCAAGCCAAAAACAAAATTAAACAACCCCCCCCCCCAAAAAAAAAAAAAAGAAAAAAAAACCTTTGAAGCTTTTGGATGACAATAGAGAGGAAGAATAGAGAATGATAATGGTCATGTGAGGAGAAGGGTGCTTTACAAATCCATGCCTGAGCCAGGTGTGGTGGTGCATACCTGTAATCTCTGCTCCTGGGGAGACTGAGGCAGAAGGATCACAAGTGCCAGGTCAGCCTCAGCAACTTAGTGAGACCCTAAATAGCTTGGTTAGACTGTCTCAAAATAAAAAGTAAAAAATGGCTGGGGATGTGGGTCAGTGGTCATTGCCTCTGGGTTCAATCCTCAGCACCCAAACAAAGCAAAATAAAACAAAACAAAATCTATGTATGTGAACCCCAATGAGAGGGACAGAATGATGCTCTAGGTGGCACTGTCAGGAAAAAAAGATGATTAAAAGACTACTGACTTGCTTACTGAAGACCCTTGAGGTCCACTATTTATTTCCTGACCCCCTTGGAAATCAGTGATCTTTTTTTCTTTTTTTTAATTGGTTTTTTAAAAATACACAACAGTGGAATGTATTACAATTCTTATTATACATATAGAGCACAATCAGTGAACTTTCCTATTATTGTCTTATGACCCATGAGAACAGGGTTCTCAGGAGGTGATGGCCAGGTTGAACTTGTAGGTACAAGTGAAATTAACCTATCCTTTAGGGCCTCCTAATATTATGGTCTTGCATAGTTTAAGTCTGGTTTAAGTCTATGCAAAGCTTTTTAAAGTAGTGTAAAATAATTTAAGGCAATATTTATAGGAAAAAAATTTAAAGGTACTTTAATGAGACAAAGCAGGCTATAAGACATCTCTTTAGGGAACTATAAATGTTCAGACATTCATTTTATTCACTATTCTTTTTATTTCAGTACACCAAAGAAAACTGGGAAGGCAAAAGATGAATTTTTCTCAAGCCCTGATGACAACAAAGATGTAGTTTTAGATAAAAAACTTAAATTTTACAGATATTCACAGTCACTTGGGCCTCACCCTGCAAGAAGACCAGTATCTATCTCCAGAGAATGGCATGGGTATAAAAAGGAGAACCAAACTATTAGTGTTGGAAAAAACATCAACTGTGATGTGATAATTCATGGAGATCATAAGAAAGAAGTGAGAGCCCCATCTCCATACTGGACCATGGTGAAGAACGAAAACCAAAGCTCCTCTTCCTCCGTCTCCTCCACCTCAGATGCATTTTGGCTGGAGGACTGTGCCCAAGTTGAGAAGGGCAAAAGTCAACTGGCATCAAAGGTTAGGCAATAGTTTACAAAGTGGGGTTGTATGAACATTTTTTAAAAACACCAAATTTTTGTGCCTTGCCAAGTTTGCAAGAATTCTTCAGGAATTATGTGCAGACTTATCAATTCTTTTTCATGACTGTGGAAAAGCCTTTAGAGACCTTCTTCAGTGAGAAAGTGAAAGACTTCCTGGGGTTTCACAGATCTTGTTCTCAAAATAGCAATTCAGGTCATGAAGACCCTCCTTTCTGAGAATTTCCCATCTTTTAGAAAATATGGTAGAAGAAACCATTATCAGAATATATAAACATGGTAGAGAACTTCTTTTTAAGGTAAATACCATATTTTCTTTTGATATTTAGATTAGATTCTTTGGGTAATTATTCATATTAGCAACCCTTCAGCCCTACTGTTACTTTCAGTGTTGGCCTGATAGTTAACTATGTGAAAGAGACAGGATTGAAACAGATGAGAAATAGAAGAGAAAAATAAAAACTGCCACAGTGAAAATAAATCAGAAATATAAAGTAACAATTACATGGCATATGATTCATAGGAAATTTATGTTTTTCAGAAATGATTTCATTGTAAAAAAAGGCAAAGAGGGTAAACTCAGATCACTTAATTGTTGTATCCAAAATGACAGATTTTTAATTTGTTTTCATCTTAAAAAGTCACCAATAATAATCTGGAAATTTTTACCCTGGTAGTTGCTTAGCCTTAATTTTAATAGTGTCCGATGCTTCTTAATTGAAGTACCAAATTATTACATTCCTGCCTCCTTTCAGACATCTAAAACAAAGATGTAAAAAAAAAAAAAACAAAAAACAAAAAACAAAGATTAAACACTTATTGATTAAACAGGAAAAATGCAAGAAAAACATTTAAGCAGAATGTTTTATTGACTCCATTAATTACTTGCATTTATGTTTTATGATATTTTACTTAGTTGATAAAAACAAGATAAATTATAGACTTTTGACTTTCATGTGTCTGCTGCTCTGGGATGAGAAAATGTTCTGTGCTCTCCCTTGCAATTTGTGCTTCAGTGTTTCAACTCGTCAACAAAAGGGGTATGCCCCAAATTTCCACTTGCTGCCATTGACTTCTGGCCAGAAACAAATTTCTTTGCAGCCTTTAAATAAAACAAAAGAAGACAGAAAATTAAAAGAAATAATAATGTACCATCAAGTAGATAAACTTTTGCCATACTACTTGGCCATTTCAAGAGTTTATAGATAGAACATTCTAAGCCAGCAATTCTATAATAGCCTCTTGTGAAAATAAGCTATGAGATGGCTAGTGCTTCATTTAATTTGGAACAATGTGGAGGAAAAGTTAAGCTTTTTTTTTTTTTTTTTACATATTTTTATTAGTTGTGGATGGACCTTTATTTTTTTATTTACACGTGGTGCTGAGAATAGAACCCAGGGCCTCACACATGCTAGGTCTACTACTAAGTCACAACCCCAGCCCTTGGCTGTTCTTTTGAATATGAATATTCCATCAAATATTGACTGAGTGAGCAAGAGCAGTGGTCTAGATAACAGAGTAGTTAGGGGGATGAGGAAAACCTCACTGACATTGCAAAACAGGACAGAGTGACTTCAGGCAGGGCTGTGCTTGCTTCTGTATTATAACAGCAAGTAGTCTGGATCTACTAAAATATAGTTAAAGTCAAACTTATGTCCTTAGTTTTATCAATATTTTAAAAAGAAAGAAAACTAAGGACATAAATTTGACTTTAACTATACTGATAACTGAACCAAGCATTTTATTATTTTTTATATATATACGTTTTAGTTGTAGATGGACACAATACCTTTATTTATTTTGATGTGGGGCTAAGGATCGAACCCAGAGCCTCACACATGCCAGGCAAGTGCTCTACTTTTCTTTCTTTTTTTAAAAAAAATATTTTTAGTTGTAGATGGACACACATTTTATTTTATTTATTTTTATGTGGTGTTAAGGCTCGAACTCAGTGCCTCACATGTGCTAGGCAAGCACTACAAACACAATCCCATCCTCTTTAGTTTTCTTTATGCCACTATTTCAGATTCAAAGCCTAGTTATTTATATTTAGGTTAAGTGCAGTAAAAGTCAGGTCTAGGTATAGCAGCAGCTCGCCCAGCCTTGTCCCCATTATCTCAGGCAGCTTTCCTAATGGAGGAGAGATGGTGAGGGAGGCAGCTGGGCTGCACACTCTTGAATGTAAGATTAGGTCAGCCACTTAGCAGAGTATGTAATGATGAACTTGGGGGCAAGTGAATGAAGTTAGAGTTATTATCTCAAGGTAAACAAACTTCTCTGTCTCTTTAAAAAATAATCTAATTGTCCATGTATAAGGTAGATTTGTTGGTGAGAAGATAGTTGAGACATCTACAAAAAAAAAAAGGAGTTGACATTTCTTAATGTAGAAAAACATGGGAAAACCCAATGACTTTAGATATACTCTGTAGCTCTTGTGCTCTTTAGGCATACTAGAGAATACAAAAAAGTATGAGACATAGTCTAGACATAGTCCTAGCCCTCAAAACAAGTCAGTCTTATGTGTGGGGGAAAAATGCCAAAAGTGGGAGAAGGTCTTAGGCTAAAAAGAATAAAGAAAATCTTGAAATGCTGGATGATGGAAGGACTGGCAGGATGGAGTTTGTTTATTATTATTATTTTTAAAATATCTTCATTTTATTTATTTATTCATTTTTATGTGGATCGAATCCAGGGCCTCACACATGCTAGGTGAGTGCTCTGCCGCTGAGCCACAACCCTAGCCCTTGTTTATTTCTTAGTTGAATACCACTACTATTTAGGCCGATCCTATGAGACAGTATTTGACTCTTCCTGACCTACAGATTTTAAAATGGTTTAACCTAATGATAATTTATTTGAACAAGGAAGATACACACAAATAGGCCTGAGTTGACAAGGAAGCTATCTGCAGATCTAATGATAAGCCCCCGTGTCTACAAACTAGGTAGTGAGGCATGAGAACAACATAGAGCCCAAGGAAGCTTATGTGTTTCTTCTGAAATTGATCAATAAGGTTAAATTTTCTCATGCTACACCATAAAATTTCATTTGCTTACATTTATGACATCATTGTTAGCTACAGAGTCAATTTGCTGAAGGAGTGTGCTTGGTGGTATGTAAGAACCAGCAACTAGAGCTTGACATCCAACTTCATCTAGGAAGCCCGCAGAAGACTCCACTGACATTAGGTATCCAGCTTTCAGCTTGTTCCTGTTGGATAAAAGGCAGAAGTCAATTTTATAAAGCAAGGCAATATAAAAGTATATAGCTCAAACTTTTTTTAAAATTAATTTTTTAAATTAATTTATTTAAATTGGGTATACATGACAGCAGAATGCATTTTGATTCATTGTACACAAATTAAACACAACTTTTCATTTCTGATTGTACACAATGTAGCGTCGCACCATATGTGCAGTCATAGATGAACCTAGGGTAATAATGTTCCTCACACTCCACCGTTTTTCCTGCCCCCATACCTTCTCCCTTCCACTTCCTCCCCTTTGCGCAATCAAAGTTCTGCAATGTTTTTGGTAAATATTAACAGCTAAGGCCTCCATTCTATAAATTTCTTCCGTTCAATGAATAATTTATCATTTACTATTTGGAAAGCTTTCAATACAAAACTGTACTGAAAACTCAACAGATTGCCTTTTTTTGGTGTGTGTGGGTGTGTGTGTGTACCAGGGATTGAACTCGGGGGCATTCGACCAGCCCTATTTTGTATTTTATTTAGACACAGGGTCTGAGTTGCTTAGTGCATCGCTTTTGCTGAACTCGCCATCCTCCTGCCTCAGCCTCCCAAGCTGCTGGGATTACAAGCATGCATTACCTTTTGATTTTGGACTAGAACTTAGATCTAGGTAAAACTATACATGAAATGATTCCTGCCTTTTGCTACATTTTTAGTGATAATCCAAGTATTTACAGGAAAGAAAGTTATCTACCTATGCAGGTTCATTTAGCAGAATGCTGTGCTTAATACACACACACACACACACTCTCTCTCTCTCTCTCTCTCAATCTCTCTCTCTCTCTCTCTCCTCCCCCAATCCCCAAGTGCTAATTCTATGCCAGGATTTGCCTCAGTGAGGGTAGGGCAGGATGCAGAAGGCAGGTGGGGAAGGATGGTACAGTCCTGAAAGCCCCAGCAGCTTAAGTATGAGTACAAAAGCATCAAATTGAAACAAAACAAGACAAAATCCAATTTATAATTCTCTAAAAAATGAACTATTATTCCATGGTATTCAATAAGGTACTTGAGTTATTTAAACCACAAACAAACTATCATCCTTTGGCACTCTACAGTAAGACTTCCATCTAAATGTAATCACAATCTAATGCAGCAATTTAAGCAAATTGTCTGTTTAATTAAAAAAGGATTTAACCTGCAATAAACTTTACCAAGAGGTTATTAGTTTGTCCCTTCAGGACTCACACTTTACTTTCATTCTTTGCTATAGGAAGACTAAAAACCTTACAATAAAAAATATCAATTGCATCAAAAAGAGAGAAAACATATCTTGGCATTAATAACCAAAATTTTATTTTGTATAAAATATTATACTTTGTAAGAACTATGCTACAATACAATTGTGTTGTAGTTATTTAACAGATACAATTTTGTAATATGTTGCATAACAAAACTAATAACAACAGTAACAGAAATGAGTAAAGGCTATTCCATCCTGGGTTAGAATTTACCCTGACACACTTGAGTTGCAGGCTTCACATCCTGAAAATGTTTTAACTGTTAAACAAAAGTGCAGGGTGTTTTCCAATTTTTCTGTCAGTTTTAAAGTGCTGAAGTACTAATATATTAGGAGTTACAGTGCTGAAGTACTAATACATTAGGAGTTCTGTTTTTTGACACTTTCAATCTGGATAGTGGAAATTTAAAAATCACCAAATGGCAGACATGTATTCGTCTTATTATTCAAACAAATAAAAATCAGATGTTTTTCAAGAAACCCAGTTGGGAATCTCTACCTAGAAAGTACAGTGGTCCCTTGGCATCTGTGGGCTATTTATTCTAGGTCCCCCATGCATACCAGTGCTCAAGTCACTTACATAAAATGGCACAGTATCTGCATATAACCTATGCACAACCTCCCATATACTTAAATTATTCCTAGATTACTTATAATACTTAATACAATATAAATACTGTGTAAATAGTTGATATACTTTATTGTTAGAAAATGACAACATACAAGTCTGCATATATTTGGTGTAAAGGCAACTTCCCTGCCACCCCCTAATTTTTTTGGTTGAATCCACAGATGAAGGATACAGAGGCCAACTATAACAGAAAATACAAAAGTGTTTTAAACCTAAAGATGTCCTTTATAGCTTATAATTTCCAACAAGTTTATTTCAATATACAAGTTGGTATTTAAACAAATGTTTAGTTATCTGAATAAATGGAAACATCATTTTGATGTTTTAAAAAGAGGAATTCGGGCTGGGGTTGTGACTCAGTGGTAAAGCACTTGCCTGGTACCTGTGAGGCACTGGGTTCGATCTTTAGCACCATATAAAAAAATAAAAATAATAAATAAAACAAAGGTATTGTGTCCATCTACATCTAAAAAAAAGTAACATGTTGCTTAAAAGAAAAAGAGGAATTATTTCTGTTTCTTTTCATTTGTAATTTTCATATTTTTACAATAAACATAATATTTAATTAGAATCAAAAGATATAAATAAATACAATGTTAACAATTATGTTTAAAACGCAGAGTCAAGAAAATAAACAAAATGTTAACAATTATATCTCTAGGTGACAGAATAAGGTTGTGTTTC